CTTGTGCACACATGTTAGTGTATATGAACTAAATCAGTTCGCAAATTTAGTTTATGTGCACACATATGTGTGAACATTAGTATATATGTAACATTAGCATATTTGCATAGCCACATTTCAATATATGTAGCACTAACACAGGGCAGACTTGGACGGTTTCTCCTTTACCTTCCATTTTATGTAGATATGTATTTTCAGATTGTATATGCAAAATCTGGTTTACTAGTTATAATTTTCAAATTGATAATATCTACACGTAATTCCATTGTAGTGCATGATTTTCTTAGTAAGGTACTTAATTCATTGATTAACAGGACATTATTCTCATATGGAATCGAGTCTGGCATCTAATCCGAAATTTGCACGTGAGATGGATAAGGTTAGGAGGAAATATGAACGATATCTCGAAAACCTTAATTTGGATAAAACACTGCTAAATAATAATATGAAAATTTTTGTTCTTGAGTCTTGATTTAATATACTAACATTGCCTCCCATAAATCAACCTCTCTCTTGAATCAAGTTCGCTACCATCACAATCAATAGTCTCCCTTGCAAATTATATCAACATCACTTTGTACTAGTTATTCATCTTCAAACACTTTTCTTGTTGCAATAGTCCACGTATGCACTTGAATAGACTACTTTCATCCACAATTTTTTTGTCAATTCATTGACCATTCATCACTTTGTGATTCTGATAATCACAGCTTAACTGACAATATTTTTCTCTGATTTTTATCGTAACACTCGCAACAATTGACAATTCTCTAATCAATCTTATGGTCGAATTCTTTACCAACTATGCACTTCAAGACTAATTTGTGGTCCAACTCGATTAACTAGCTTCTTCGTAGAAATTTATGCTCCAACTTTGAGAGCGGAAAACATCCAAAACTAATCTCGTAGTTGGGACAATTTTTAAATGTTTATAGGCACCCCACGATCAATTTTTTGAACCTAGGAATCTGATACCAGATGTAGAACTCAAAAATTAACCAAAAACTTATACGAAATATATTTCATAAAATCCATATATTTGGGAAGGCAATTGATATATATATACAAGTTTATGTGTGGGAGAAAGAGGAATAAATCAATAATGCATCATTAATCATACATAATAACAAGGCTCTCAGATTTCTTTCTTTTCAACTGATACAATAATAAGACTCTATTTATGAATCACGTAATTTGGTAAACATGTCTTAGAACTGTGGAAAATTTTCTAATAAAATACTAATTTTAAAATAATAAAATTATCATAATTTAATTCAGATAGAATTACTAAAACTTTAGTTTGACTAAAATACTGCTGAATAATAATACAAAAAATTTTATTTTTGAGCCTTGATTTAATATAGCAACATCTTCTAACTCTGACATCAATATCTGGTTTAGTTGGATAAGTCTTGAAGCCTTATTGGTGCATCCATCGATGAGAGATTGCGCAAAATGTGCCAAGCTTTCTTGATCACGAAACAGCACTCTTAACCGTAACTGCTGTGTCACTTCTGCCATCTATTTTGATCAAGGCATCCGCGAAGGAGGATGGTCCATTATGTTGCCATTTTATCCTGAGGACATGCGGAGTCGGGATTTTTAGATCGTCCATTATGTCGCCATTCTATGCATCGCCGGTGGTCGACCTTTAACGACGTGTGCGCTGCAAACATTTTCAAGAGAAGCAATTTTTAAATTTTTTTTAGAGCATCAATAGTAATTCCCACTTATTCTCTCGGTAACTCGAATATATAACCTCTCGATTACAAGTGAAATATTTTATCAATTAGGTTACGCTTTATTATCCAAAAGAAGCAACTTGTCAGATGAGAAACATTTCTCTACTTTTCTTGTCATGTCAAGTTGTAACAAGGGGTTAGAATTTAATCAATCATAGCTTGCAAAGTGATTTATACACAAGTTAAATAAATAAGTGCCAACTTCTACAGTATTTTTTTTTTGGAAGAAGAATGGGGATTTAGGAAGTTTGGGAAGGGGATTTGAACTTAAGACTTCAAATTATTGGAGTTTTAGCCTTATTTACTAGTAGACCAGTCTGATGAATTCATGCTTGAATCCCTTTTTTCTTTTTCCTTTCTCTTTCCAAGTCTAGTGTATTTATCTTTACCTTATCGGTTCATGTTAGTATACTGTTTCCAACTCCCACCTACTTCACAAAAAAAAACTCCCACCCACTTAGGAATAGCAATGAGGACGGGTGACTATAGGAACCCGCCTCGCGGGAGGCTAATGGGGCGGGGGAGTATACCCCCACCCCATCCCCTCTCCACCACCCGCTAAAAAAAATAAAAAAAAATATATATGTATATAATTATATATATAATATTTAATTTAATTAGTTACAAACTTATGATAATATATTATTAGTTATATGTATTATATAATGTATATTAATTTATGTAATATAATTGATATTATCAATTATACTAATAGGAATTATTAATTAGTTATACCAAATTTACTAATACATTTATACTAAATTCCTAATTACACTTAATACACTAACACTTTTTTCTCAAAAAAAAAAACACAAACACAATAATGAATTAGTGATTGTATTTGTGCCAAAACTAAAAACTTAATTACTTTAGTTGTATTTATTTTATCATGTTGAATTGTATTCAAATAACTTTTGTTTGATTATTTTTATGAGTTTCAACTGTGAAATTATAATGAATAATAATTTAGTGATATGTTGATAGTTTAGTACTTGATTATTTGTTAAAATTTAATTATATAACAAATTTTTATTAGCCCTACAAGGATAGCTGGGCGGGGCGGGGGGACCTCCTTATACCGGCTTAAACCCCATGGAATCCACCGCCTAGTAAATGAATATCACGTGATTGCGTCTAGGAAAGACGATATAACAAGAAAGAAAGCCATTTAAGCCAGAGTCATATTGTGTGTTTAATTTCGACTTGATAAGATTACGAACTTATGCTAAATGAAAAATTGAAATGACCAGTTGTATTGCAAATAGTGTTAAGAAGCACATGAGTTCAATTCCCCATCTGATCATGATTCTTGATTTTCAAACCTATAAGTAAATCAAAGAGAATATCAAAATGACTACATATAGTGCAATTTTTTTTTGATCAGTAAAAAATTAGTTTAATAAAATTCATTCATGAAAAGAGCTCCAAGAAAATTATAAAAATTTAACTTAGTTATTTTAATTTTTATTCTCCAAAAACCAAAAATCTTCTTTCCTACTAAGGTTAGTCTAGTTTCTAACATCCTCATCAAGGAGTTTTCTTTTTGTCTGGATATGTTTCTACAAGCCATTACTAAATACACTTATTCAAATCTAGTTCATTTGTGTAAGAAAAATTGCTTTCTAGTCTAAATTCCTAATTAGATTAAATTAATCCAACTTGAAACCCTTTACACATTTTATTAACCACATTAACTTGTAAACCCCAAGATTTTTTTTCATCAAATAAAAGCCGGACACCTTATTTCTCTTGCTAGACATAATGAACCTTTCAATGATAAAAAGAAAAGTTCTAACTCATTTAAGATGTAATTGTAGTTCATAATGAAATTCATCGCAATTACATATATACACTCAATAATGTCAGAAAAAGCATTCAAATTTAGAGACATAAAGTAGTCCTAATTATCTTACGGTAGGAGTAATTTTGGAAAGAAAATATAAAACACTAAATTATCAAATTATATAGATAGATGTAGATTATAGCTCTAAGAATTAACTAAGCATTATTTTCCTTTCTTCCTCAGGGAGTTTTTAAGGGATATTGATGTGTTACTCACTATACCTTTTTGGTGTAGTGCCATATTCTTTGTTCTTCCTGTTTCTCCTCATATGGAGATTAATTGGATATAAAAAAGATACAGAATATTACTTCACAAAGAATCAAATCTCAAACCCGGAAGGGTAAACTGCTATGCAAACAATAAATTGCAATTCAGAGCTACTTCTTGGACTAGAGTAAGGAACCTAAATTTGACTTCGAAGTCAATTGGGCTGTGAAATCTTGGGGAGGGTCCGAAGAGGTCTTGGGGTAATTCGGAGGGAATTAAACTACCATCGGACCAGACGGTTGCACTACACACCCATCTGGATTTTTTAAACAATGCTTCATTTAATTGTGACAAATTGGTAGGAGGCAAGGTTTGAACTCTTGCCATCCAACCCACTAAGCGTTAATGCATTAGTGATGGCCGGTGGTTTTAAGCAAGTATAAATGGTAAATTACTCATGACCACATGACTTCTTTTGTGGTTTCAAAATATCTACATAACGCTCTATAATTTTTATGTAAAGAGGGAAGTGGATCAAAGATCTTCTATACAACCTTTCGCCACAAACGAAAAAGTAGATGTGATGAAATTATAATAATCACTTAGCCCCATTTTTTTTTATATAAATATTCACTTAACTCCCAGTGATTTTGAATTTATTCACATATGTGCTTGGATTGTATATATTAAATCTTAAGTATTGTCCTTTTTAATTATTTTATACAATTGTTTACCTGATCAACAATTTAGTACATCGTATTTTTTTAAGTGTAGTATGTTTTACCAATTCAAAATCTCATTCATCTAAGACAATCTCCTTTGCAAGAAATTAAATTCTAAAAAAAAACATATACAGATGGAAGCCATCAGACCAATAAAAGAATAAGACATGCTTCAAGCCAAAGACATACTCAAAGTTCCTCCGTTGCTGTCCTTTTCTCTAAGTTTTGTTTAATTGCTGATCATATGTTACAAAGTCTCCATATAATGCATACTAGCTACGCTATAGCTCTCAGTTCTAGTGGAAATTAAACAAAATATTGTTCTGTTTCTTTCTCAGTCTCAAAACTATATTGTGGAAGTATCCTTGCAAATTAGTGGTATTAGTGCTTAGTTTGGAAAAAATATCCAATTATTCAATCAGAATGGAAGCTGTAAAGAGAAGATTCTTCAGCACAGATCTATGATCTCGTCAAGCTGCTAGAACCATGCAAAATGGAAAAGCAGCCAACTTTTATGAGGTACTTTCTCTAGATTGCTCCAAGTTTGTAGGTCCTGACGAAATCAAGAAAGCATACAGATGCAAAGCTCTTAAGTTCCATCCTGATGCTTGCCCTCCATCCGCAAAAGAAGAGTCAACAAAGCGATTTCTTGAGCTGAGAATGGCATATGAGACATTATCTGATCCCATTTCGCAAGAAATTTACGATCATGAGCTCAGTTTGGTTGATGTGGTGGGAAGAACAAGACATGGGATGAGTTGTTCCATGGGAAATAAAGTTTGGGAGAGCCAAATCACTGAACTGAATAACCGATAGAGGCAAAAAATGGAGAAGAGAAAGATAATGTGAAGGTGAAATTAAGAAAACCGCCACCAATTTCTTCTGCATTCGGATTTTTGTTTTCATGGTTTTCTATTTTTTTTTTTTTTTTTTTGTAATTGTCACCTTTAATGATCTTATACAAGATAAAGTTGTCAAGAAGGTTCATCTTTTTCCCTGCAGGAAGTTAATGCTTTCAAGGAAATTAGAGATTAGTGGTTAAGTCAAATATTGTCAAAGCTGGACCAAGTAGCTAGGTATCACCAATTATTGTACAGTGGAAAAAAAAAAAGATAATGATAATAATACAGTAGCAACTTTAGCAAGCAAATGTGTGTACTTGAGTGCAGCAGTATCAGTAAGATGATGTAGAATGAGAAGCTTGGAGTAAAATGCAAAGAAGAACTATTCAAATTGATTCGACAGAAAATGATCCAGAATATTACTTCACAAAGTAATGAATCTCATACGCAGAAGGAGTAAATTTGTTATGCAAACAATACTAATTAAAACCACCAAATTTGGGATTCAAAGCTACTTCTTCGACTAAAATAATGAAGAATTAAATTGACTTCGAAGTCAAGCAGGTAGTGAAAGCTTGACAAAATCCAAGAGATGGCTTTACATTCAGACCAATCTTGGCTTTTTGACACAATTAGAGATGATCCTCCTCAACTTACAATATTCAAGTTCTTTTCCTCTTTATGTCGTAGTATGATTTATCACAAAGCAAGTATAACAGCAAGAGTTAAGGTCCAGAAACTGCTCCCTTGGACTAAAAACTTCTTCACAACATCATACACTAAAAACGAAGACATGGGCTAATAACGTACATAGTATTTCAGATATTACAATTAACAATCTCTTAAGCAGATTTCTTCTTATAGTGTTTAAACTCGTAGGGTCCACCTTATAGTGCAAACATTTCCTAGACAACGAATTTTGTAGATGAGTACATATTTGTACGTAGTAATGGAAATATATAGTAGTAAAATAATTTCATAAATTTAGCAAATTTGTCATCTTTGCCAACCTCAAAGTCTCTAAGAAAGAATAAAATAGATGGGAGGGCTGGGTTAGGTAGCATAGGAGGAAAGAGTGTAAGTACGAAATTTCGGATTTGAGATCTCCTACTTACAACAAAAAAAAAAAAAAAAGAAATGATGATGGTAAGAATTAAAATTTCGGCACAGACACCTAGAACAACTAAACCATAGTCAACTTGCTCGAGTGAGATTGAATTCATACTCGCATATACATTTGTTTACCTTATCAACAATTTAGTGTTAGCGTTACCCTTTTTTCTAAGTGTTGTACATGTTTTACCAATTCAAAATCCGAATGATGTAAGACAATTTCCGTTGAAGAAATTAAGTACTACAAAGACGCACATAGAAGCCACCAGTCCAATAAAAGAATAAAACATGAGAAGACCTAAAACAAATGTGAACGTCACATAGACGTCCTCAATAATATTAGAAAAAATCTTTCGAATATAGATTAGGGATAATTTCAGAAACCACCCTTGAGGTTTCTAACAATTTCATCTAGTACCCTTGAGATTTTTAATATTACACTTATCTCACTTGATCCTATAAAATGACCATAATAACCTTAATATATTAATATTTTTCATGCAATTAAATAATACACTCCTAATCTTGGGCATAGAAATGCACCACACAATTAAATATTTAATGGAAACAAAAATAAGGTCACTTATAGAATAACTAATTATGTCCTAAACATAATGCTAACATATTACAAATTAATTTTAGTTTGGCTTGAAAGATCTAAAGATGAATAGAAGAAGATGTAAGCTAAAGATTTAAATATAATAGGCATGAATTGGTACTCCAACAGTTGAGAGATGAGATGTTATATTAATACAGTTAGTGAAATTTTTTAAATTTAACAGTACTGATCTTTTTTCTTTTGTAACTCAGATTGAGATTTTAGAATTTAAGGACTGATGGTAACGGTGATTATGATGATAATGATACTAATTTGAGATGTAAGAATATGAAAGGTTTAAAATAGTAGAGATGAGGGTTGAAAGTGGGTATGAGATTTTGTGCATATTCCATATTGTTTTATAGAATTTTATAAGAAAGTAAAATGAACTTCACAATTTCATGAGGGCAATTTGGGTTATTCATTCAAAATTTTGACCATTGAATAGTTTTTGTTACCAAAATGGTAAATTCAAGGGAGGTATGTGTAATTTTTAAAATTTCAAGGGTACTAAGTGAAATTGTTAAAAACCTCAAGGGAGGTTTTCTGAAATTATCCCTATAGATTATAGCTCCAAGGATTAACTAAGATTACCTTTCTCCCTTCTTGATGAACTTTTGTCAAGGGATATCCGTGTGTTACTTTTGTTCACAAGGCTACTTAGCATAATGTTCTGGTGTCATACCAATTTTTTTATTCTTCTATTTCTTCTCATATGCTGATTCATTGCATCTATATATATATTTTTTAATTTGAGTGTTGTACACGTTTTACCAATTCAATATCCTACCGATGTGAGACAATTTTCTTTGAAGAGATTAATCAAACCCCAAAAAAACATAGATAGAAAGCTTTAATTTAATTGTGTATATGTTACCATCTCTCCTTATATAATGCACATCATATATAGTGGAAAGTAACAAAAACATTTCTCTTTTTCCATTATCGAGTGAAAGTAGCCAAATATGAAAGTGTCCTTGCAAATAAAAAGCATCATATCTTGCTGCCCTTTTTCGTTCAGCAGTCATAGAGAGTAGTTGTATTTGTAAAACTTGAATTCTGGGATGGGAGTTATGTTTTCATTCTCAACTTACCTTCGGAAATCTTACCTAATCCAATAATAGATTTTTCTTCTTCTTTTTTTTTCTGGTTCAAATGTTGATACTTTTCTGGACATGCTTTTGAAGCCATCTGTTGCTTTGACGTGATGTAGCCACATTTCTGGCAAAATAGAAGAATGGAAGTCAAGGATGTGAAGTCACTGAGTAAGCCTAACTTGAACGCTAGAAAATCATCCAAAAGACGACTCACAGAGCTATTAGACAGTATAATATAGGTCTTTTATTATTTTTTTTTTAAAGGGTAACAGCAGTCATTATTCTCTTATAAAAAATTATGTGACATTGCACTGAAAAAATAGACTGACTAGCAAGCTTTGGAAGAAAATAAAACCATTTGCCAGTCAAAAACTAGCATGTTGACGCAATTGAGAATAATCACACCTATTAGTACGATCAACCTGCGCTTTAGTCAAGAAAATGGATTTTTCTACGAAAGAAAGCAATGGTGAAAGTAGGGACAAGGAAGATTTTGATGGAAATTTAGTTCATCTGGATGGGAATCAAATCCTCTATATGTAGATTGCAACAATTTTATATGCAATTATAGAAAACTTGTCCTGCAATATAGGCTTGAAAGTTCAACATTAACTACATTTGTAGGAAAGTGATCTAATGAGGAAGACAATGAATCTTTCTTCTTTTTAATATGTCGGTAAGTATTGGCTCACGAACGGTATAGAATGACTCATGATTAGAGACAAAACAGATAGATTGGATAGAAAAAGATGTAAAACGACAATTACGTAGTATTAAATCTCAAACTATAAAGTAAACCTATCATGAAACAACACACATTTTAACATACCAAATTCAGGATTTAGACCTATATATATATGCTACTAAAATAATGAAGCCTCAATTTGACTTCATTCAATTAGGGCTGCTAAATCTTGACAAATCCAAGAAGCAGTTTCACATTCACATCAATCTGGGCTTTTGACATGTAGTACCTTGTGCCAACTTGTACGTGCTTTAGATTTATCAACAAATTTTCCTTATAAGACCTGTCCCAGATGAACTCTGGGAGTACAACAGTAACCGTTTACTTTCTTGGGCCACACACTTCTTTGAAAAATCATGCAGTAGGATGAACATGGTCTAACTGTATAGGATTTGGGATGCTAGAATTAGCAATAAAAGCAGTCCTTTTTTTTTTGGTGGTCCTTAAAAGAGAAGCAGCTTCTTAGATGATAGTTAGGCATTTTACCTAATATACAAACAGGTGAAAGGAACAAGTACACGAGTGCCAATATCTGCAGTAGGGGAAATGGTATTAGAATATTTTGTGTAAGTTTAGCAAATTCGTCCTTCCCATAAGCTTCCAAATACTAAGAAAGAATGAAATTGATGGAGGAAAAGTTTTGGCCCAAAAACCAAATATGGTAAAACATAAAATGCATCTTATAAGCTTATATGTTCTACCCACTTACACGAGTGAGTCTGATTAACTCCAAACCTGCTTGTATACCTTCTTTTAAATTAAAAAGAAGAAATAAGTGCTTCTATACTTTCTTTTTCTTTTTGTTTTGACCTCTACAACCATGATCTCTAGTTTTACGTTAGTTTATTGTACATGTTGGAACCAATTCAAACTCCAGTTGATGTAAGACAATTTGCTTTGATGAAAGAAACTAAATCCTACAAAAACATAGATTGATTTCACCTGTCCAATGAAAAAATAACACTTTGCTTGTAGTTATGAATGGAAACTGGATAAGAAAAATAGTCATTTTAAGCCAAAGTCATACCCGAAAATGAAAGGTCCTGAATTGCTTTCTTTAATTTTCTCAATATATAGCGCATACTAGCTTGCATTATGTATGGTTCTCATTTCAAGTGGAAATTAAGCAAAAGATTTCTCCCTTTCTTTCTCAGTTCCAAAACTATATTATGGAAGTATCCATGCAAATAAATAGTATTATCAGTACATCGTTTGGAAAATTGGTTCAATTCAATCAGAAAGAAGGCTGTAAACAGAAGATTTTTGGGCACAAAACTGTGATCTCATGTCATCAGGCTGCTAGAACCCTGCAAAGTGGAAGGGCAGCCAACTTTTACGAAATACTTTCTCTTGATTGCTCCCAATTCATAGGTCCTGAAGAAATCAAGAAGGCCTACCGATGCAAAGCTCTTAAGTTCCATCCTGATGCTTGCCCTCCCTCGGCAAAAGAAGAGTCGACCAAGCGATTTCTTGAGCTAAGAATGGCGTATGAGACATTATCTGATCCAATTTCACGAGAATTGTACGATCATGAGCTTAGTTTGCTTGATGTGGAGGGAAGAAAAACGCATGGGATGAATTGTTGCACGGGAAATAAGGTTTGGGAGAGGCAAATCACTGAACTGAATAAGCGATCAAGGCAGAAAATTGAGAGGAGGAATGCAATGGGAATGTAGAAGAGAACTGCATGCTACTGGTTTTTTATTGCTTTTAGAATTTCGGTTTCAAGTTTTTTTTTTTTTTTTTTTTTTGGGGTTGCCACCTAAAATCTGTATTTCTCTTTGCCACCTTAAATATCTTAAATAAGAACAAGTTCTATATTTTCTCTGGTGAAAAGTATAGGTTAATTTCCTTTCCTCCTTTTCCTATTTGTTGAGCTAATTATTCTTTGCTACCAGCCCTTTAGTTCATAGCAAAACTATAAGAACAATGCCAGTTAACTGTACTAATAATTTCCCAATGATTCATGTATGGGAAACATAGCTTAAACGTTTATAGCAATAGTAGCAGAAGGTTCTACTACACTTTGGGTGAAGAGTGGCTTAGTCATCTGTCAATAGTTATGAAATTCTATTTGAACAAATTCTTTTTAACGGTTTTCATTTCATTAGCTACATACTAGTAGGAATTTGTTAGGGTTGAGCTCACATCTCTATTCAGTTTGCTCAGATTAATAGGAAAATTGAGGATTCTAGTTTATCTTAAAACCTATATTGGAGCATTAGGGGGTAAAGTGAATATTCCTGAACCATAATGAATTTATAAGATATAGTGGCCCTAAACCATAGTGATAAAAATAATTCACGTTTTTTTTTTGTTTTTGGATGGAACATGTAATACAATTAAAACAAAAACAAAATTTTGAACCAATTTCATGGGTCTATCAAGAAAAGGAAAGTACCATACAAAAAATCAATCAAAGATACCAAAATGAAAATACCAAAAAAGAACAAAAAGTATATAGAACGTCCTATATTAAGTATGAGATAGCTTTCTCGAGATTATGAGAGCAGCAGGACTAGATATTAGCCGACATATAAATAAAGGATTAAACCATCAATATATCAAGGAGGGAAACTATTGTATGTTGAAGTCACAAAATAACAAGTTGGAAACAAGATTAGACCAGCCACAAGTTCTATGTCTTGTTTTCAATGACCAGTAATTTGATGTTTAAATGCTTGCATATGCTCCAATAAAATCTTAGTCAGAAATACTATGAATAGTCATATCACGCGAACAAGAGTCCTACTTCACGTTTAATAAGAATAAAAAAGAAATGACTTGCAAAGACTTCAATCAGAATACAGGCATAGACGATGTATCGGTCATGGAAATATATTCTATATCCAAAATCCTGTCCTAATGCTTCCTAAATATATTAATGGTATTAGAAGTTTCATTTCTGTTGGTGTGATTCTTTTCTATATGTTGTGAGAGTGAAAGTTGATGGGATATCAAGTGTGAATCAATATCCCACATCGGAAAGAGATGAGTAGAATGAGGAACGTATAAGTGGGAATGATCCATAGACCCAATGCCTTAAGGTTTTGGGTTTGGATGTGGTGTCAATCTCATGGTTGTGGTTCCCATTCTAACTCATGGTTAAATTCTCCCCAAGTTTGGCTCTCCCAGAGCCCAACAAGTGGTATCAGAGCCGATGGTTCGGCTGGGCAGTGACTCCAGGATAAAAAGCCAATGGGAGTGGTAAAGCGTGGCTTGGATAAGAGCGGGGAAAAAAAAATCATGCATGGATAAGAGCGGGGAAAAAAAAATCATGCAGACCTGCAGTGAGGTAAGGGCATGTGGGCTCTTGAGCAAGAATCGTACACTCCAGATTGAAGTGGGCTTGATGGAGTGGATGGGCTAGGGAGAGAGGTCCGATATGGAAGAGATTCACAATTGAGGGGGAGATTGTTGGGATATCAAGTGTGAATCAATATCCCACATCGGAAAGAGATGAGTAGAATGAGGAACATATAAGTGGGAATGATCCATAGACCCAATGCCTTAAGGTTTTGGGTTTGGATGTGGTGTTAAGCCCATGGTTGTGGTTCCCATTCTAACTCATGGTTAAATTCTCCCCAAGTTTGACTCTCTCAAAGCCCAACAAGTGGTATCAGAGCCGATGGTTCGGCTGGGCAGTGACTCCAGGATAAAAAGCCAGTGGGAGTGGTAAGGCGTGGCTTGGATAAGAGCAGGGAAAAAAAATCATGCAGACCTGCAGTGAGGCAAGGGCATGTGGGCTCTTGAAACAAGAATCGTACACACTCCAGATTGAAGTGGGCTTGATGGAGTGGATGGGCTAGGGAGAGAGGTCCGATGTGGAAGAGATTCACAATTGAGGGGGAGATTGTTGGGATATCAAGTGTGAATCAATATCCCACATCGGAAAGAGATGAGTAGAATGAGGAACATATAAGTGGGAATGATCCATAGACCTAATGCCTTAAGGTTTTGGGTTTAGATGTGGTGTCAAGTTCATGGTTGTGGTTCCCATTCTAACTCATGGTTAAATTCTCCCCAAGCTTGGCTCTCCCAGAGCCCAACAAAAGTACATACAAAGTGCACTTTCAATTGGGACTTCGCATCGTAAAAGTGATGAGCCTCTACCTTGTGCTTGCAAGTTGCAACCAAATATTCTATCCTTTCCATAATCAATGCGAGATAAGCAAAGGGATAAGCCTCTACCTCATACTTATAACCAAGTATTCTACCATTTCTACAACCAATATGAGATAAACATGATAATCTCCCCTTCACAAATTAGGTACCAGTTTGGGATAGGATCAAGTTTTTATTCAAGTGTTTACATCGGGTCTTAGATTGGATTATATCATTAACTTTTTATTCAAGTCTTTATTGGAAAGAGTTCTTGTCACTTGGTTCTAACACTAGGCCTTAGATTGGATTAGATCATTAATTTTGAATGAAGTCTATATTGGGAGGAGTTCTTGTACTTGGTTCTAATACTAGTGTTGGGTGCTATTGGGTATTCTCACCTGAAAAGTTAACTCAAAGGATAAAGCCTTCTCCACACTTACACTCAAGCACCTTATTCTTTCTACGACCTATGTGGAATAAATTCAACAATATCTCTCCTCCACACATCATGCACTAGGTTGAGACAACATCAACTCCACATATCATGCATAACGTTGAGACAACATCAACCTATCATCTGAATCTTTAGTGGGAGAAATTATTGTAACCAGGATTTGATACCAATATTGGATGCTCATTGGGCCTTCCTACCTCAAAAGATAGCTTGGCTCAAGAGGTGAGGCCGTATGAATCTTTAGTGGGCAGAATTATTGTAACCAGGATTTGATATTAATATTGGATGCTATTGGGTTTTCCCACCTCAAAAGCTAGCTCAGTTCAAGAGGCGAGTCTCTTGCTCACACTTATAACTAAGCAATTTGTCCCTTTCATAACCAATGTGTGATAAAACCCAACAATCTCCCCTCACACTTATAACCAAGCAATTTGTCCCTTTCACAACCAATGTGGAATAAATCCAACAATCTCCTTCTTACATGTTGGGCATTAGGTTGAACAATATCAATCTTCTGTCTAGGTGTCTACATTGGATTCGAGATTGGATCAAATTATCAACTTTTTACCCAAGTCTTTGCTGGGAGAAGTTGTTGTAATCAAGTTTTGATACTAGTGTTAGGTGCTACTGGACCTTAAAATCTAGTTCAACTCAAGAGGTGAGCCTATCCCTCACACTTATATTTAAGCAATCTATTTCTTTCACTACCAGTGTGGGATAAACTTGACAATCTCCCCTAACACATTGGGCATTAGGTTGGACAACATCAATTTTTCATTTAAGTGTCTACATCAGGTCCAAGGTTGGATCAAGTCATCAACATTTTATCCAAGCTTTACTTGGAGAACTTGTAATTGAGTATTGATACTAGTATTAAGTGCTATTGGATCTTCCCACTTCAAGAGCTAATTTAAGGAATGACTTTTTTCTCGCATTTATGACAAAACACCTTGTCCTTTTCACATCCAATGGGGATAAACCTAATAATCTTCCCTCTCCCCGCCTCTCATCCCACATATCAGCTACCAAGTTGGAATACCATCAATCTTTCATCCAAGTGAAGCTAATTCAAGAAGTGAGACTTTTCCTCACACTTATAACCAAATACCTTGTCCCTTCCACAACCAATGGAAATAAACCTAATAATTCCCCCCTCCGCCTTCACATATCAGTTACCAAGTTAGAACAGCATCAATCTTTCATCCAACTATGCACATTGGGCTCTAGGTCGGATTAGATCATCAACTTTTCATTCGAGTCTTTAGTGGAAGAAGGTGTTGTAAATAGGTTTTGATACCAGCATTGGGTACTATTGGATCTTCCTACCCCAAGAGCTAATTCAAGGGGTGAAATTTTCTAACACACTTATAACCAAGCATCTTGTCCCTTTTATAACCGATATGTGATAAACTCAATAGCATTTTTATAGTACTCCCTCTATCCTATATCTTTTCATTTTTTGGGAATCCAACTTGTTAAGAATAGTTTAATTATGATATCATGCTTCTCTTTTTTATTTTGCCCCTCAAATTTTAAATTTTGAATTTGAATGTGACATACATATGAAAAAAGGTAGGAATAACATTAGGAATAGAGATTAAAATGGGTTTGACTTTTGTAAGATCACAAATATTTTCAAATATCCAAAAATAAAAGTTATAACACTTTCAATGGGATAAAGACTGTATTATATTTGTGCCTCCGACTAAATCAAAATGAATGGGTGCCTAACTGCCTATGCAGATAAAAAGGAGAAGAAAGAAACCAACTTGCATTTGGTAAGCCAGTTGATAAGTATGTATTTTACATAATTTTAGTGTATTTTATTGTTTGGTTTTTGATGTGTTTTAGTTACTTCAAGAGATAAATAATCAGGTTTATAGTGATTTTTGTATTTTGTGGTTTAAATGAGAAAAACTGCATTTCTATGGATGTAAGTGGTTAAAATTTCATGTTTTTAAAGATTTTAATGACTCAATCATCTATTAGATGAAGTGAGAAGATACTCTCATGATTTTTGATGATTTGAAGTGATTTTAAGTGAACATAAAGTGCAAAATATTGAAAAGATGAAATGCAATCAAGTTCAAATGAAGAAAGGATTGGCTTTTAAAAATT